ACCCCAGGTTTCTTTGATGGCAAAGCCTGCCTCCAGCCGGAAAGACAGGACATACCATTTTCACCCATTTCCCCTATTGCGTGTAACATTGTCTGAGTATTTGTTTGTGTTAGGTCCAAAGCAGGGTCCCCAAAGTGGCACTACTGGTGACAACGGCCTTAACAGAAGGACTCTGACTGGGTAAACACAAGGGTTGTTACTAGACAAACAGAGAAACCAAAACTGCTTAGGAAACCCTCTGCTTCCCTTCTCCAGCCCAAGGTCAGCTGCTTTGGGCAAGGCCATCTAGGTCTGGGACAGCCTGCTACAGATCAAAGCCCCCGTGCTAAATCCCAGACTGTTCTGCAGCCTCTCCTGCCAAGCTACCTGTCCCCTTAAAACTGACAAGGCTCTCCCGACTACTGACTATTCTCTGACCTCAGCAGTATGATTCCCCAAATAAACTTTTCTTTCTACTGATGGAGTGCTCTAGTTCAGTGGTTTTTCTGAACCCTTGAGTGTAGTTTGTATCCCCCAGGTCTCATTTGTAGACATACCCCCCACCACACACATAGCAATGTTAAGGCATAGGGCCTATGCTCTCACAAATGGGATTAGTGCCCTTATAGTAGAAGCCCCTGGAGAGCTGCCTTCTGCGTGCAGCATGTGAGGGCAAGCAAGGCAGGCACCATCTTTGAAGCAGAGCAACCACCTCACCAGACACTGAGCCTGATGGTTGTTCTGGAATCCTCGCCTCCCACAGTGCTGAGCAGTAGATTTCTATTGTTTCTAAATTAAGTGAGGCTGTACTTTGGATCTTGAATGACCCCCAAAAGCCTATGTATTAAAGGCTTGGTCCCCAGACTGGTGTTTTTGGGAGGGGATGTAGTTTTTAAGTGGTGGGACCAAGTAGGAGGAAGGTGTCCTCAAATGGGTTAGCAAGACCCTGGTCCTTTGTTTTGTTTTTTGCCGTTTGGCCACGAAGTGCATGGTTTTCGTATCCTCCCCTACTGTGACGCAAGCCTACTTTCCTACAGGCATACAGCAACAGGGTCAAACCAGTTAAGAACTGGAACCTCCAATGCTCCGATGACCAAGAGCCAATGACCGAGAGTCTTGATAAGGGATTAGCTCAGGTCTTTTGTTACAGTGACGGAAACCTGAGTGGCACACATAAGAAACCGTACCTTCTTACGGCTGCCCATGGATTTGGACAAAAAGTGGTACCGAGAAGTGGCGTGCTCAGCTGTGAAGAAACACCCAAGAATGTGGAAGCGGTTTAGGAACTGGGTGCTAGGAAGAGGCTGGAAGTGTTGTGAAATGCATGTTGGACAAAAACGGAATCACAGACCTGAGGGAGTTTCTTGTCAGGGCTCAGAGGCAAAGAGCTTCAGGGAAGCCTCCAGGCTTCTCAGGGATCACATGAGAGCCCATGAACACCAGTAGTAACGGGAACGTCGAAGGCCACTCTGCTGGCCTATCAGGTGGGAGTAGGGAATAAGGTGACTGGAAACCGGGGGGTGGGGGTGGTGGTGGTGGCCGTTGTTGTAAAGCGGCCAGAGACTGAGCCTGTTTGTGTCTCAGCGTTTTCGGAGGGACTGGACAATGACGAGGCCACTTGGCAGGTGGTGAGGAAAGGGCTGTGGGTTCAGCGTCCTATCCTGACTGTCTGCAATGAAAAGAAGATCTGGAACATTCTCAATCTGGCCATATTGTAAAGAATGAAAAACCTATTCATCAGAAAACACCAAAGAAGCGGCCAGCAGACTATTGACGGACTAATTCTGCTAGATGCTACATCTTAGAACAATGGCAACAACAAAGACAGCATCTCAGAGGTCTGGGCAGAGGTGGGGGCTCTCCAGGCTAGGATGCTAGCTAGGGTCCTGGGCCTGGAATGATTCCTCGCATTGTGACTTAGCAGTCTGACCACCCAGCCGTGGTTGAAGCAGAACCAGGCACAGCTCAGGCCACCAATGAATGGCACAGTACGGATGCCTGCAAAGTGCCATCTCCAGGAATAGCGAAATGCATCTCTGTGCCTGGATACGTCCGCCTCAGCTTCAAAAGATGCCACAGATATCCTGAAGGCCAGGCAGAGAACTATATGAGGGTGAAGGACAACAGAGTCCTTGCTAAGACTAAGCCCAAGGCAGCCATGGGAGAAGGGCCTTCCCAAGACTTCCAGAGATACCAGAGAGCACCTGCAAGATCACAACCTGTGCGTGTATCCTACAAAGCCAGGAAAGTTGGGCGGGGTGGGGGGGGGGACTCCAGCAGAACAGGAAGTACTCGTAACCCCTGAGTCATCTCTCCAGCCCCATAATTTTGTTTGTTTCTTTTTTCTTTTCTTTTTCTTTTGGTTTTTCAAGACAAGGTTTCTCTGTGTAATGCTGGCTGTCCTGGAACTCACTCCATAGACTAGGCTGTCCTTGAACTCACAGAGATCCGCCTGCCTCTGCCTCCCCAGTGCTGGGATTAAAAGCCTGAGCAACTACTGCCTGGCTTTTTGTTCATTTCCTACAGAAGACAAGACTGTGTCTGTTATCAAGAGAACCATGGTGGTGCTGGAGACATAGCTCAGCAGTTAGGAGCACTGGCTCTTCTTCCAGAGGACCCGAGTTCAGTTCCTAGCACCCACCTGGTAGCTCACAACTGTCTGCAACTCCAGTCCCTGGGGATCCAATGCTGTCTTCTAAGGGCACTGCACACACATGGTGCAGGCAAAATACCATTACACATAAAATAAATATAATTTACAAAAAGGAGAGAACTATGGTTCTGCAATTTGTAGCATAAGTTTCTAAAACCTCCAAGGAGGCCGATGAGATGTTTCAAAATGACAAGGCAGAGGCATCACAGTACTCTTAGGTAGTGAACTCAGACGCAGTGAATCTGTCTTCTGGTTTCAACTCCTCTGAGTCAGTGGGCGTGTAGCTGGTCACTGGCTCAGGCTATCCTGCAGGTCTGGGAAACACACCGCGTCCTCTGAGGTCTTGACATATTTAATTCTGTCATCCAGACTGGCAGTAGGAAACAGTCTTATGACATGTATCCAGCTCAAAGTCTCAACAAAATTATAGATGTCCAAAATTTTTATTTTATTTTTGTTGGCGATTAAGCTGTTTGTTACATCTCCCTGTGTGTTCAACATTCAAAAAATATATTTATTAAGTGCTTTCTACGTGCCAGGATTCGCTCTAGACACTGTCCTACCCTAAGGAGACTTGGATTGGTCACTTGCACATTGCTGTGACCCAGAGACTTGAGGGGACAACTTAGAGAAGAAAGGATTTTTTTTGGTTCGTGATTTTAGAGCGTTCAGAACATGGTCACCCGGCTTGCGTTTCTAGGCCTGTCATGAGGCAAACGGCATGATGTGTGAGCAGGCAGGAGAGGCTGCTTCACTACAGGGTAACCGGAAGTAGAAGGCCCAAGAGAAGCAGACAAGACGGGGACCCGGCAGAACACACCCCTTCACAATACATCCCCAGCAACCACCACTTCCTTCAGCTAGCCCTCACCCCCTAACACTGCCAGACCCTCCCAAAATAGCACCCCCAGCTGGGGAACAAATACTCAACACATGAGCCCGTGGGGGACACTTTACGTTTTAAACCACGACAAGCCCCCAGAATAGGAAGAACAGAGAGTAGTGTCCAGTCATGTGTGAAGGAAGCCTCTCCTAGGGCCAAGGAATCATGAAAGCCTGCGGGAGTTCATTCATTCATCCAGTTGATCAATGGACATACGCATTGACCATCTGCTGCGTGTCAGGAACAGGGAAAACATTGGAGAAAAAGCCCACCCCTTCTCTGACGTCACCTTTGATCCAATGGTAAGGCAAGACTCACGAACTGACCATTACAGATGCTAGAGTTTTGAGGGGAAAACACCTATGAAGGCAACCACTATATCCGGGACAGTGAGGAGGACGGCACAGTGCCCACATGTTGGGTAGTGCCTAAGAAGCAAAGGTGGGGAGGAATATCATGTAGAGCAGGGGCAGGAGAGACCATAGCAAAGGTATTTTGTTTGTTTTTTGTTTTTTGTTTTTCAAGGCAGGGTTTCTCTGTGTAACTCACTCTGTAGACCGGCTGGCCTCGAACTCACAGAGATCTACCTGCCTCTGCCTCCCGAGTGCTGGGATTAAAGGCGTGTGCCACCACTGCCCAGCTAGCAAAGGTATTTTCTTTTCTCTCTCTCTCTCTCTCTCTTAAACAGAAGCCTTTTAAAAAATATTTTTATGGTTTATTTAACTTTATTCTATGTGCATTGGTGTGAAGGTGTCAGATCCCCTGCAACTGGATCTTCAGACAGTTGTGAGCTGCCATGTGGGTGCTGGGAACTGAACCCGGGTCCTCTGGAAGAACAGTCAATACCCTTAAACCACTGAGCCATCTCTCCAGCCCCGCAAAGGTGTTTTCAAATGAAGGAAATACACTGGCAGGGTGGAGGTTGCCAGGAGGTGGTGAGCAAAAAGATAACAAAATTCTGACGAATCTTGTAAGTCTTGTAAGGTGTTTAAGAGGGAATGTTCGCTTAAGAAAATCACCAGCTGCCAAACAGGGTTTTGGCGTGTGAGACACCAGAGGCAGGACACTGAATAGAGGCTCTTAAAGTTCTCTTTGGGAAGTGCTGGCCATGGCCGACCTCAGAGTGGTGGTGGAACAGCATAGTCATCAGGACGTGGGGAACTCTGGCAAGAAAGGATGTGAGAAAGGATGCTAATTTCTGCCCTCAGCAATGGAGAAAGTAACCCAGCACAAGAAGCCCGGGCTTGGGAGTAGCTCTCCATGGACTGTGCTGGACTTGAGGGTCCTGTGGGGATAATAGACGGACATAGCTGCAGGTTGTACAGCCTGGAACTGTGGAGGGTGCTCAGCTGGGGCCTGCAGTGGGGAGTCCTTAGGGCAGAGGAGGCTCCGAGTCCTGCGGAGGCTGGGGACGTCACTCAGGAGCACTCAGAGGAAGGTGAGAGATAACACCCAGGAAAGATAGGGATGGAAGGGACAGCAATATAGACTCAGAGATGTAATAATGAAAGTTACAGAAAAGGATGCTAAGCTCTGAACTCTTATTTTGAATGAGCTGCTTCCGCCTGGTGCTGTCTGAAGACTCTTTGGGGAAGCCTTTTTTTCCTGGCACCGCCAGCAGAGCTGGAGGCGGAAGTCAGAAGGCCACTTGTGTCCTTTGTTGACTGTTAAAAATACTGTTCAAAAGCACATGAAATAAGATTCTGTAAGAACTCGACTCTCTTTGATGAGTTTAGTCCACATTCTGTAAAGGTACTGGGGGTTGGAGTGTGAGTAGGTGGGGTGGCTTCACAAGAACAAAACACACTTCCTCTCCTTCCAGACTCTCAGAGTGTGGTGACCTGTGTACCTCAAGAACCCTCAGCTATAATGACGAGCCCCAGCCTCTAAGAGGTGCAGGAGTGGGTGAGGCCTGGAAGGAGGGAGGCAGGCATCCAAGCCATGGTCTAGATAGGGAGGTTCCACACAATCAAATACCAAGACTTAAGATCCCTCAGACCCACGTTTACCAAGGGAACAAAGAGGGATGTGGAAAAATGAGTCAATGTTCACAGGCCCAGTGGCCCACACTAAGGAAACAGCCTCCAGAGAAGTGCAAGGGCTAGACCTCTGAGTCTCAGGGCGGAGCTTCTGGAGTATCAGAAACACGAGGAACATCATCTGGAGCATCAGGACGTGCGTAGCATCAGGACGTGCGGAGCATCGGGAACAACAGAAGCATCGGGAACATCAAACTGTCCTGTCTCTGCTGTAGCTCCTACGTAGGTGGCTTCCTCTAGGGTTTGGGAAGTGCTTGTGTTACAGTCCAACCATTCTAGGTTATTCTAAAATGAGCTATGTAAGTCCTTTTCAGCTTGCCAAGAAGGCGTGGTTGTTTTAGATTGCTGGTTTTCAGCGCTTGCTGGGATCTCAACATCATCGTAGTCGTTTTCGGAGCCTGAGATGGAAAAGACCTTCTTGTTTCTAACTTTCCTCACTGATGAGTACCAAGCTAGTGGTTGACTTGGCACTTCCTGTGGGGCTAAAGCGCAGAAACAGGGTCATTACAATGCAAGTCCTCTGAGCTTTGAGGCTGTTACAGACCTTCCCACTTCCTGGAAGGCCAGTTCCCCATTTCACAGATGGAAACCAGTCATAGACATGACACACATCTCAGGATCGCCCAAGTGCATGAGTGGCAAATGCTGGGCAACTCTCCTGACTCCCACATCTCTGCTTTCAGACCCTCACATCCAGGGAGCTATGATGCAAACACTTAGGAAACAGACCACAGCCTGTTGCTAGGTGACCTCAGCTGTGTCCACAGATCTCAGATCACAAGGATCTGATGAGCTTGTTGGTGCATCCCTCCCCACACCCTAGGCTGCTCCCCAGGACCATTTGCCATTGCTTACATGCAAATCTGCCCCCTAAGAAGGAAGGAAATGGGGTGTGTATGTGTGTGTGGGTTGTTTTCAAAGATAGAATCACTGCAGTATGAGTTTACAGCAGGGATGAGAATGCTTGCCCCGCTCATCTGTGGCTTGAGGACGATTTTCCTGAGGCTCGTGCACTGGGGACTTGGCCACCAATGCGGTGTGTGTGTGAGGGTGAGCTCAGCCGTTAACAGTTCCTCCTGCTTTGCAGAGGTCCTGAGTTCAATTCCCAGCGACTGTATCAGGTGGCTCGCATCCACCTCTAACTCCAGCCCCAGGAGACCCAGTGCCCTCTTCTGGACTCTGGACACAGTGCACATGTGGGCAGACACTCAAACACATACGAACACAAAACTAAAATAAGGAATTTTTTTTTGTTTGTTTTTGTTTTAGGAGATAGAGCCTAGTTAGAAGTGGTATGGGTCCTTCTCTTTGCTCTCTACTCTGTTCTACCACGTGTCCCGCTGTCACATGGGCTCCGGCCATGATGCCATGTTTGTCATGTGATGTAGCTTTCCAGTGCCATGCTGTCTGGACACTCAACCACCCAAGCTGCCAACAAAATAAGCCTCTTTTTTAAAAAGCTACCCAGCCTGGAGTATTTTGTCGTAATAACAGAAAATGGATTAACACACTGACAAGTAGCTTAGCTACACCTATAATGAGAATCAGATTTGCCTCCACAATAATCTTATCTTCCTCCAAGGAAACTGAAAAACCATTGCCATCCCATTTCCTATAAAATGAATTCTTGTTTAGACTCCAGAGGTCAGTTAGTTTGGTGATCATGGGTAAGTCACTTAACTGCCCTGGGTCTCAGTATTGTCTTGTCCTCTGTCCAAGGAGCAATGATAGCCTTCAGTTTCACAGAGCTATGCGGACTTAAATGAGGTCGTGTCTAGCAGGGAGCCAGTCAAGGGAACCAGGAAGCGTTCAGGAATGATGGGGCTCACCTGTAATCATTTTATTTTTGTTTGTTTTGTTTTGGTTTTTTGTTTTTTTAAGACAGGGTTTCTCTGTAGCTTTGTACTCTGTCTTGGAACTAGCTCTTGTAGACCAGACTGGCCTTGAACTCACAGAGATCCACCTGCCTCTACCTCCCAAGTGCTGGGATTAAAGGCGTGTGCCATCATTGCCCAGCTCACCTGTAATCTTAACACTTGGGAGGGAAATGAAGGCAGAAGGAGGAGTTCAAGGTAATCTTGGCTGCTAAGGGAGTTTAAGGTCAGCCTGGGTTACATGAGACCCTGCATCAAAAATCAAAACGAAACGCTAAAAGGGACTGGGGAGACAGTTCAGTCTGCAAAGTACTTGCCTTGCAAGCATGAGGACCCAAGTTTGATCCTCAGAACCCATAGCTGTCTGTCTGTCTCTCTGTCGATATGTGTGGTGGTCAGGGTGGCACACAGCTGTAATCCCAGGGCAGGGCAGATCCCTAGGGCTCACTGGCCTGCCTGCCTCATCTGCTTGGTGAGTTCCAGTCAATGAAAGGTTTGGTCTTTTGTAACAGGGTTTCCCTGTGTAGCACTGGCTGGTCCAGAACTCTTTCTGTAGACCAGGCTGGTCTTGAACTCACAGAGATCCCTCTGTCTCTGCCTCCCGAGTGTTAGGACTAAAGGCTTGTGTCGCCACTGCCCGACTGCAAGACTTCTAAAAAAGGTGGGTGGTACCCAGGAACCACAGCTGAGGGTTGTCCCCTGACTGTCACATGCATATCATTCATTCTTTACACCTGTACACACACAGACACACACTAAAGTTTAAAAAAAAAAGCCACCGCCTCCAACAGGAAGAACCCTGCCTAGATACTGAAGTAGTTAAGGCCTTTATCTCAGAGTCCCTGGTTCCTTCCACAACCGCGAGAAATGGTTGCCCCGCTGTTGAAGCCGCCCAGCCTGTAGTGTCTCGCTAGTAAGCTAAACAAGGAGCTCCACACGTTCATCATCCTACCCAGAGTGAAGCTGTTATCAGTAAAATGTACTTACCAGGGTCTCCTAGAAAGGGTGAACCCCTGGGTGGCAGAGCAGGTAACTGCCCTGGTGATGGATTCAGAACATTCCTAGAGAGGGGGAGAAAGAGAGGGAAAGGAAGAAGGAGAGAAAGAGAGAGAGAGTCAGTGGTTGGTATGAATCAAGCCTACTGCCAGCTGCTTTGTAAGACATCAAGGCCAATGAATGGGTTGAAGATTCAGAGCTAGATTCCCACACATTGGAAGCATTTCCTCTGCTTTCTAGATTCTGCATTCTGTTTCTGTCACCCCAAAGAAATCATTTCCTCTAGTCCAGGGGTGGGCAGGGATTGTCCCTAGAGCACAGCCTGCATCCTTCTGTGTGACCACGGCATCAGGTGCATTTCAGTTTGCAAGACAGATGGACTTCCTCCTGATGTTAAGTATCAGCCCCGTAACCAGCAGCATTGCTGCGAGTTTACCACGTATGTGTCCAGAATGTTCCAAGTGGGGCCGTTCACAACAGCACAGCTGTTACAGATGCTAAATGGCTCCTCAAAGGCCCAGCTTGGCACTGTTGGAAAGGGGTAAAAAAATTTAGGAGTTGGGGTCTCGTGGGGAGTTTTCAAAGGTGGCCGTGGTCCCCAAGTCCCTTCCTCTCTTCACCCCTCCTCTTGTCCCTGGCTATGAGATGGGCGGTTTTATTTGATGGTGCACTCCCTCCGTGATGCACTGCCTCACCACAGGCCCAAAGCAACAGGGCTAACCAATCCTAGACTAGAAACTGGAGAATGTGAGCCAAGAGAAACCTCTTCTCTTTCTAAGCTGATTGCCTCAGGCATTTGTTACAGGAACAGAAGCTTACACACAGTTCACGCCTGCTCACAGGACGTGGGACAGACTGACCATAGCCTCCTCCTACAGTGGGATGCTCTGCAGCAAGCAGAGCGAACAACCTACAACTGCATTCAATGAGTCTGACCACAACAGCATTGACCTGGGGTTGTAGCTCGATAGTGGAGCCTGGAATACTGTATGTGAGGCCCTGGGACTGAACTGACCCCCAGTACTGAAAAAAATGAGCAAAAGATGCAAAACACTGTGTGCTGTTCTGTTCATGTCAAGCACAAAACAATCAACAACAAACACCTCTCTGATTCCTTCTGGCTAGTAGGAATTTGGGGGCACCATGACTCAAGGCCTTAGAAAGTAAGTATCTGTGGTGTTAGCGGAATCCACGCATGAACTGGGCATTGTTACCTATGTCTGCTCTGTTCATGGGAAGTTGTTGAGTGGTATGCTTCCTGGAAACATTTTCCTGTAGCAATACCACACTTCTGTGGGAAGTTTCCACTGTACCAGCAAGGCATTGGCCATCTGGCTGTGTGATACATGATTGGCTTACTCATCAGTGGGATCAGACTGGGCAAGGAGAGGTTCTATTTGCTGGTCTCTTCAAACCCCAATAAAATACATTTTAGAAAAGTATATATTTATATACTTTTTTCTTTTGCATAGTCAATGACTTTTGCAATGGCAAAAGTCAGCCATTGACTGAGTCCTGGGTGATCACCTCTCAGCTTTGAGAGTATCAAGTTGACAACCACTGTGTTTATGCACCTGGAACTTTGGCTACTCCTGATGGTTATGCTCATGATATCATTTATGGGGGATGACTGCTTCTGTTCGTCTGGACCCTTGACTTCTGGAGGGGCTGAAGGCTGCATAGCTTAAGTCAGTCATGGGCTGCCTATCATGATCCCTGTGTACCAAGGCTCAGCTGAGCTGCCCGGGTCTGTGATGAGCTGCCCGGGTCTGTGATGAGCTGCCCGGGTCTGTGATGTTTCACATGAGTTGACACACATATTAACATACACAGCTGCTGAGATCTGTCCTCAGGACTAGCAGGGAAGGACAGCTGGAGGCTTGTGTCTGGTTCCTCCTAGAGTCCATCTTATTTGGCTTTTTTCTTCTGCTGATTTTATCTATTTTTGACTGTATTAAACCGTAGCTGTGCTGGGCATGGTGGTGCATACCTTTGATCCCAGCACTCAGGAGGCTGAGGAAAATGGATCTCTGTGAGTTTGAGGCTGACCTGGTCTACTTAGTGAGTTCCAGGCTAGCCAGAGATGGATAGTAGAATCCTGTCTCAAACAAGCAAACAAATGGCTGTGGGAGTGAGACAACTTCTAGGTCCCAGGGGTCCCTCTCGTGAATCCTTGTTCCTAACCTCAGCACAGACAACACTAAAGAACCTCACAAGAAGAAGTAAAGCTGGTGCTCGGGCTAGAGGATTCTGTTCCCAGCACCCACACGGTGGCTTACAGCTGTCCCTCATTCCAGGTTCTGGGAATCCAGATGCCATCCTTCTTGGGCATCAGACACACACATGGTGCATAGACATACATGTAGGTAAAACATTCATACTCATAAAAATAAATCTTTAAAAGGGGAAGCGAATACTTTGCTTGTAGACAACTTGGTCAGAGGATCACACTTGCAATCTGCGTGAGGAAAAGAAGTATTCCTGAGCCTGCAGCCCAAAGCCTAACAGCAACCTCTGCCAGGATAGATGCTCTCAGGGAGTCTCCTGCAGCTGATGCCAGAGGGGCGCTGCACCCACAGTGCCCCGGACCTCCCTCCTGCCACAGATGGAGACTCCGTCTCACCAGCTCCATAGGAAAGGGCGTTTCAGACGCACCAGAGCAATAGTGGAAGGGCCCTGGTGGCAGTGACCAGATAGCTCTCAAGACTGAACAGCAGGGATCTCCCCCACTTACTCGTACATCTTCTCTTCGTCTCTCCCGTTAGGTTTCCAGGGCTTGGCAATCGACCATTTCTTGCCTGTGGGGGGAAACCATATTCACTTAGGACACATTAGTGAAAGCTGTGACTTCAGCATTTTGCAGTCCTTGGAAAACCAGCAGATCCAGGATGTGTGGAGGGGAACTGCCAAGATGTAATAGTCTTAGGAACTCCTAGCTTTGAAGTGACGGAACTGGCATTTGGACCCTGGCCATAAAGTCACAGAGCCTGGGTGGTGACCCAGGCCTGGCAACAGCCACGTGGGCTGTTTCATGGCTTGATTGGCACTAGGTAGGTTGTGTGGCAATAGGCAGGAGTGGTCGGGATGAAATGAACTAAGGAAGGGAAGAATATTTTGGCTGTAATATGTTGGGTGTGTGTGATGGCTATTATGGTATTACTATTATTATTAGAAATCAACTTGACTATGTCTGGGATGTACTAAATGCCCAAAATGACTGGGCATACCTGTGAGAGATTTTTGTTTAATGAAGTCATTTGAAGTAGGAAGATCCACTTCTAATTCAGCTCTTTGAGGTGGGAAGACCCACCTCTAATCTGGGTCACAACTTCCGCTGGCAGCCTATATAGCGAACATGGAAGAAGGAAGCCTGGCTCTCTGTCTGCTTGCTCTTGCTTTCGCTGGCAAATCCATTCCTTCACTGACATTAGCGCCCACTTCTTCAGGATCCCAGCACATACTGAGACCAGCTGAGACATCTAGCCTTGTGGACTGAACTCTTGGACTTTCCGTTCATCGTCAGCCATTGTTGGACCAGGTGAATGACAGCCTGTTAGCCATTCTACTAAATCCCTTTTCTCTCTATAGACACAGAGAGATTCATTCTACAAGTTATATTCCCCCAGAGACTCCGCTCTGAAGCAGTACATACATTATTATTTGCCATAACCTATTGTTCACAGGGGTCAGCCCAGATAAAAGTGGGAAAATAAGGGCTTTTGTCAAGGGTCATGTTTTTGTTCATATCTGAGAATGAAAGGTTTAACATTTTTATCTCATTATTTATTTATGTGTGCATACACATGTTCATATCACATATGTGGAGGTCAGAGGGCAACTTTGGGAACTCTGTTCTTTCTTTTCAGCAAGAGTCCTGGGGATCAAACTCAGATTTTAGGCTTAATGGCAATTAACTTTACCTGCTGAGCAGCCTCACTAGCCTAAAAGAATTGTTGTTGGTGGTGGCGCACGCCTTTAATCCCAGCATTCGGGAGGCAAAGGCAGGTGGATCTCTGTGAGTTTGAGACCAGCCTGGTCTACAAGAGCTAGTTCCAGGACAGGCTCCAATGCTACAAAGAAACCCTGTCTCGAAAAACAAACAAAACAAACAAAAAAACCAAAGCAAACAAAAAAATAATTAAAAGTCAGCCAATGGATAGAGGAGTGTATGAGCCTCAGACTCTCTCTTTAAAAATTATATTAATTGTATAAAGTAATGCAGTTCAGAGTAAACACACCCCCTTTTTATTAAAGAGTCATTACTTAATGGGTTGTGGGAAAAGATTAAATTGGGAACCCAGGACACTTGAGATCTGAAACCAGTTCTGCCTCCAATACCTGGAATACCTCCGTGAAGGCTCGGCCTCCCTCTGGGCTTCTTCTCAGCTCTAAAAGAGAGATGGGAAACCAAGCCGAAAAGACTTGGCTGCTGTGCAGCCTTGCGCCCTTAAGCAGATGCCTGGAGGGCAGTGTCCTGATCACCTAGAGAGGCGTGTGCACCAGGGCAGCCTGTGCACTGTGTACCACCCCTGGGCACGCTCCTGGCTTAGCCCACATTTTACTTTTCTTTTAAAGGACTAGGACCTCAAGGGACCATGCCACTGATTCGGGTTTATGTTCCTGGAGATAAACAGCAAACTGGAAAACCCACTTACGGATAATCTAAAGTTACTGTTAATATCCAGGCAGTCACTTTGTCTGAGGAGGCCAAAAACCTCTGGTCAAGTTGGAGATATGAGCAGAAAACAGGTCTTAGAGAGAGAAGGCAGTCGTGGTGGCAAAACACATTCATCGCAGATTGCATCTGTGTCTTAACGCATGCTCGAGACGGTTGGCTTTCTACAGACTTCTGTTAGTTCCCTTCTGAGCCCCACAGAAAAGATGACGTCAGCACCAGGCAGAAACGGTTCCTGCCCCAGTGCCTGGAGACAGACTCTCTATTACTGCCTCTGCTATTACCCAAATCCTCTGACAAGGTCTTTGGAGATAAATCTACCCCCACGCCCCTCACTACACAGACGAGAAACTGAGGCCCAGGACAGAGGTCAGTGGTGTGGCTAGACACCACAAGCAAAGTGTGTGATGCTCCACCTAAGCTTAACCCTTGCACGCCCAGGTGGATCCGAGCTCCGCTGTACTGACATCACCTGCCCCACCTCCACCTGCCCAGGGAAAATGGCCATCATTACCTTGTCTAAACTGCCTCCTGTAGACACAGTACAGGATGAGACCCAGGACCAAGGAGACAACGATAATGGCCGCAGCCAAGAGGATCCAGAAATTGTCCCTCCACCAACTCATTGCTGTGGAAGCCTAAGGAGAACAGAGACAGAGGCATGAGGCACGAGTGGAAAGCCTGCAGGGGGCGCTGTCACCCTCTGTGCTTCCTGACACATCTGCTGAGGAACCAGAGTCAACCCTTACAGACAATGCCTCGGTAGGGTAGGCCGCAGGCCAGTCACTCATCTTCTGAGTTATGCTCCGCCTGTCACCCGGCACTGATGGTGCCAATTACTTCATGGGGGTTTGTGAGGTTTAGCTGTAAGGCACTCCGGAAACAGAGGGCATGAGACACGGCAGAGGGGAAGATGTACCCCTGAGAGCAGTTCCCAGCTGCAGATCTTTATGTCACAAAGACAAGAGACATTCTTCATTTCTATGGAGAGAGAACTGTGTTGTGGTTTGTTGTGGGCTTGGGGGAAACAGCCTGACGGGTGCTATGGTTTGAATGTGGCTTACTCCACTGGAACTCACGCTGGGCCTTGGCTACCATGGCGCAGAATTGAGAAGTGGTGAGAGGTTTTTTTTTTTTTTAATTATTGGATATGTATGAGTGTTTTGGTTGTATGCATCTCTGTGTACCACATGTGTTCCTGGTGTCCATGGAGCCAGAAAAGAGTGCCAGATCCTCTGGAATTGGAGTTTTGAACAGTGAGCTGCCATGTGGGTGCTGGGAGTCAAACCCTGAACCTCAGGAAACGTGACTGGTGCTTTTAACAGCTGAGACATTTCTCCAGCAGAGAGTCTAGATTGGAGGCCCCCATCAAATCGCTCCCCTCGCCCGGTGGTGGTGGTGCACACCTTTAACCCCAGCACCCGGAGACAGAGGCAGGTGGATTTCTGTGAGCTCGAGGTCAGACCATCCTGGTTTATAGGACAACAAGGTCTACACAGAGAAACCCTGTCTTAAAAAAACAAAACAAAACAACACGACAAAAACTGAAAATAAACCCCTCTCCTCAGAGCTCAGGGAATCCCGTGGAAGAGGAGGTAGAAGTGTGTAAGGACGGGAGGGGATGGAAGACACCAGGATAACACAGTCCTCTGAATCAACTAAGCGAGTCACACAGGGGCTCATAGAGACCGGAGCAGCACTCACAGAGCCTGCATGGGTCTGCCCTAGGTCCTCTGTGCATATATTATAGCTATTAGCTTAGTAGTTTCATGGGAGAAAGGGAGTGGATCCGGGGTGGAGGGAGGTAGGGAGGAACCTGGAGGAACAGAGCGAGGGGAAACTATAACTGGATACACGGAGTGAGAGAAGAATCTATTTTCAATTTTAACAAACTGACAGCAGCCAACGAGACGGACTAGAGAAGAGTCTTAGGTTAGCAGTAGAGGGTGAGCTCAAGAATCAAGCCAGCCACACCACAGTTAGACAGCCCCACAGTGGAAAGTGGCCAGTGCATTTATAGGTGAGTTATGCGCTAGTCCTAAGAGCCACCGGAAGACGATGTGTGCAAGAATCCCTGGAAAGAATCCATGTTTGCACAGGCTGGAGGGCTGGCTAAAACATCAATGGTGTGGAGAGCCTGGAAGTTCGTATGTAGCTTCAGAACCTAGAGACAGTTTATCTCGGCCTGTGCCAGGCCCTGAAGAGCCATCCTTGCCCGCCTCTCTTGGGAACTAACATCCTGTGACTAGAGCCAACGTCCTGACCAACAGACTATTAACTTAACCGAAACCCTGCTTCCACCAACCAAAAGGCTAAGAATGCTCTCAGCTAGTATCTGAAGCCGAGAGCTAAGATTTTTCTGGTGTTGCAACCTATCTCTTTGATTTTTTGTTTTGTTTTGTTTTGTGTGAGACAGAGTTTCTCTGTGTAGCCCTGGCTGTCCTAGAACTCACTCTATAGACCAGACTGCACTCAGACTCAGAGATCTTGCTGCTGACTCCTGAGTGCTGGAATTGAAGACATGGGCCACAATACCTGGCCATCTGTATGAAGTTTTTAACTCACCAGTGTGTTTTTTAAATGTCTTGATTTGAGACTAGAGAGAGATGATCTGGTGATTAAGAACACTTGTTGCTCTTACAGAGGACTTGAGTTCAATTCCAAGCACCCACATCAAGTAGCTCTCAAGCATCTCTCAGGGTATCTTTCACCTCTGGCCTCTGTACCTGTATGTACATGCGCGCACACGCGCGCACACACACACACACACACACACACCCCATAGTTGAAAATGATGAAAATAGGTGCTGGAGAGATGGCTCAGTGGCTAAGAACACTGGCTGCCCTTCCAGAGATCCTGGTTTCATTCCCAGAAACCTCATGGAGACTCACAACCATGTGTAACTCCAGTTTCTGGGCATCTGACACCCTCTTCTGGCCTCTGAGAGCGCTGTGCACACTTAGTGCACAGATACACATGCAGTTAAAGCACTCATATACATAAAAATAAATACATCTTTTAAAAATGATAAAAATAAATATTTTTCCAAGTCTTGATTTATGACTTTCTTTGTCATGTTAACGTAAAAACTTCACGAACCTAGCACACATCGGAACATGGAATGGAGGTAGCCTGAACCATTCTGCCTAGGCCGTCATCATTCATATTTGGCTCTAGAATAAACAAACTCTCTCAGCTCCCTTAAAGTGAGAGCTGTTTTTCCATTGACACTGTATTGTAACTCATTATCAAACCTTCAGTAACATGCATGACCCCCAACTGGCATGAGCAGAGCCTGAGGCTGAGAATGACAGACGCTCAGTGGCTTCCCAAGCCAGGCAGGACACATGAGCAGGCAGAGTGAGCAGTAGATGCCAGGCTGCAAGAGAAAGTAGGGAAGGAGCTGGGGGAGCCTTCAGTAATAGGGGAACTGCTGGAGAGAGATCAGGCTCTTCATCCATGGACTGGGCACTGTGAAAGTTGGAGACTAAGGGAGGGAGGGGTCCTTGGACATGTCCTGGCGTCTTGGTTACATGACAGTCAATTTCCCGTGTCTTTGTGGAGGCAATGGAGCCTCAGGCATGGATATTCACATGGCGCCATTTCAGATTGACGCTTTGGAGTAACAGTAGTAGCATTTAAAAGTGTCAAGGCAGTTAGCAGAGAAACAAGGCAGAATTAGGATGCAGGAAAGCAAGCTGGCTTGTCTTCCTCCACTCAAAAATGTTTTATGAGGTGGGGAAATCAAATGTGTACAGCTAGCACTCATTGAGATGATTTATCCTGTACTTTTTATTCTGGGTGGTTTTTGGGATTTGTCAATGCACTGAAGATTTACTCTTAGGCCCTGAAGTGTCTACTCCCTGTGACTTGATTCACATCTAGGCCCGCAGTGTGGAGGTTTTACTGTTGATCACTTTTCTGTGGTGTGCAAAAGAGAACAACAGAGAAAGAAGAACTAAACGAAATGAAAATGGAAACTGGAAATGCCTCTTGGCACACGCCTGTGAAGCTTGGTTTACAGGGTTCACGAAAGTTCAAAAAACAAACAACAAACACAAACCAAGAGAACCCTGGACTTACTATGGGATCTTCGCTCTCTTGACAAACAGGAATAACATTGCTCTCTTTAGCTTTGGGGAACCAGATAGACAAAAAGATCTGTGGGTGGGCGAGTGGATAGATAGACAGACAGAATTATCTTCCTTTTTTTTTGTTTATCCCCCTCCTGTTCAAATGCTTGTCTCTTGGTTCTTTGTCTATCTGTATTCTACAGTTTTCTTCCTTCCTTCCTTCCTTCCTTCCTTCCTTCCTTCCTTCCTTCCTTCCTTCCTTCCTTGTCTTTCTCTCATTAAGTTTCTCCAAAAGTTGCACATAGCTGCACTTAGAGCGACAGAGACTGATATGGGAGACACATTGTTGTGTTGGAAGACTGGGTAAAAGGAGGGAGGTTAGCCAGGGGCCATCATTCTCATTGTCAACTCTCTATGCTACCTGACTTTTGAACTACTTGTATCCACTCTGATAAAATGGTAGTGGGAGAGAGAGAGAGAGAGAGAGAGAGAGAGAGAGAGAGAGAGAGAGAG